GCATGTCTTTAAATGTATTTCCACATATGGTTTACTGCTAAAGTTTGGATTAGTCTCTTGGCATACTTTCCATATTTGAATCTAGATTGCAAAACAAGTTCTTCTACTGTGTATAGGTTACAAACAAAATGTTCACAAATGTATTACATAGTACAAGGTTATGATAGATAAAGGTGGAATTGTTAAAATAATCTCAGTTTTTTGTATATGCACTTCCACAAAATAATGTTTTTTCATATGTAATATACATGCATTTTATGTAACTGTACATAATATTTATCAATGCAACATATACTTATATAATACTTCTCACTCAATAAGAACACTGATTTATTCTTCTGAAATGTATTTTTATGCGGATCAGACTTTTATTTTACTTTTACTTATACACGAATTCAATTTATAGATATATTTATTATTAATTTTTAGTATTTAGTAGATATTAATATTTTTGCTCTGTATTACAATTTTCAGGAAGAACCAGCTACTTTATCTACATTAAATGAAGGCGAATTACGTGCACTATTAGATGAAGCCATAACTTATAAGTGTCCCAAAGATCGTGAAGGAAAATCAAGTCTTTTTAAAGTAAGTGTATTAATATTTCTGTTCTTGTGCATTATTGTATCAAACAATAATATATTAATAATCATTTTTGCAGGAGTTACTGCAAGAAGCAGAAGCTGATGAGACTGAGGAAGGTCGTAGGATAATAACAAATTCACGATGTTTGCCAGGATCAAATCGTAGGAGGCATAAACGAGATTCTGTATCTGAAAGGCTTACACACGGAGGATCATTACAAAATTTGGCACAACCTATTGCTTCGGAATTTGATAGTTTTGCTTATTTAACATCTGGTTCTAGCCATACTTACGGAGGAAGTAGAAGAAAAAATAAAAAATATACAGGCTCCAGTGTATCTGCTAGGCAAAGAGAAGGAGGTTCATTACCTTCAAATGTAAATGCATCACACAGTTTGGCTTCATTGGCTAATCTAGACTTATTATTTGATAAAAAGGTATGAATTTTAGGAAATTTCATTTACATTTTACAATATAAAGTCTAAAGTATTTTTTCTCTACTAATTACTTTTAATATTCGATGTAACAATATTATATATAAAAAAGTTCAAATATAGAAAGAATAGATGTTACTTGAAATAAAACTTATAAATACTTATACACATAGATATGCATAGGACTCACTTGATTCACTTGTGTCCTCATACTGGTGTATAAGACGAAAGTCCTACTTATACTATGCCTACTATTAATAATTAAAATGTTGTATAACATCAAGTAAAAGTAACTGCATAAATATGATTTTATACATTTCTGTGAGCACAAAAGAAAAACTCAAGTAATTTGTGTGTATTATATAAGAAATAATATATAAAAGCTATACATAGATTTCATGATTAAATTTGTTTTCTTTCTATTGGGTTGTAAAGAAGGGCTTCTGTGAAGAGAAAACAGTATATGATTGGACCAATAAGGAAAAATCCAAATCTTTAGACAAACCATCATATACAAGTACAAAAAAAGAAGAAAAAGATAAAAAAGATACAAAGAAAGATTTGTGCGAATCCGAGCTTGACGTGCGTGAAAAGAGAGGTAACAAAGGAAAACAGGGGACAAATGAAATGCTTGAATCAGATAATCCACCACCAGAGTATAAGTCAGATTACATGGTGATCGACTTAGGTGATGCTGAGGTAAACATGTTTTACTAAATATGATCTATTAAATTAATTAAAGATTACTAAATATGAATAAAGTGGTAGCAGTTGGAAAGAAATTATTAGATCTTATCTTATCTTAATTTTTTTTTAGGTGGGTACTATTAGCGAAAGAAATGTGGGATCTACAATAAGTGGGGTTCAGAGACCTCACTCTCTGGATACTGAAATTGATGATGGAATTGAAATGAAAATCATTGAACCACGTAGACCTCAATATATATCACGTACTACTTTTGATATAGCTCAGACTCCCGTGGATACTACTATAGATTTCTCTCTCCGTGAGCATAGCGGAAAACAAGATAAATCAAAAATATCTGTTAATGGTACAGAGGTAACTGGAGCTCTTTCGTTTCAAACTTTTAATACTGTGAAATGTGGTATTGGTGGAACCTCGAATAGTTCTACCGCTAGTCAGGGTAAAGTTCCAAGTTTAGTTCCAAGTTTATGTTCCGTGATGTCTGCATCTTTGCAAACACAGAATATTACAATGGGTAAGTAATACATGAATTTATTAACTGGATATAATATTAGCAAATACAATTGGTAAAATAATAATGCAAAAATGCGATTATTAAAATATGAGTAATAGTAGAGTAGCGCACTTTTAATTTAACTAGAAAAATAAAGATTACCTTCTACGGTGAGGAACATAATAGAGTAACACTGTTACTATTTATACAGCTATGATTTTATTGTATAGTGAGTTAAAATAGATAAATTTTGCACAGAAGGTTCCAGGTATACAGCTCATACCACGGCATCTGGAGAGAAAAAATCATTGGATGAAAATGGAAATGCAGTGCAAAATTACAATGGGGAGCGTAAAAAGCCTAGAAGAAATCACACACGGGAACTTAACGTTATTGTATACAATGCTGAAAACGTTGAAGGCCATCGAAATGACGAAGACATTGATACCCTAATAAACTTTATTGAGAACAAAGAGTCTAAAAGTAAAAAAAGCAAACCAGGTAATCCAGTAAGAGTAAAAACTAGCTCTGGAGCGAAGCCAAGGAGTAGAGAAAAAGATACTAAAAGAGAACAGTTGCCTGCCAAGTTACAGAAATCCAATTCACTTGAAGAAATATCCAAGACAAAACTTGAAGATCTTACAACAGAAAAAAGTGTCAGTTCTAGTGGTGCCAGTAGCCTGTCAAGTCAACAAGGTAAGTAGTTGACACTGTGCTATAGTTTTACGTTCCAAGAACGATAGCTATCAATTTACATAAATGATGTCAAATAATTTGGAATATATAAAATATATACTTAATCGCTTTATAGGTACGATTAACGTCACTTTACGTCGTGCGAAACAAAGAAGCACAGGAGACACTGCTATCGATAGTCGCGGTGATAGACGATCCTGGGGAACCGAAGAAGGTCAGTCTATATATTGCAATGATACCGGAGATGATTATGGTAGTCGTCGAAATTCCAATAAAAAAATCAATCCAGAGTCCGAACACGAAACAGAATTTTTGGTTGTCACAAAAAAGAAGAAGAGTAAAAAGCAAAGGAGAAGTTCCAGTGGTAGTAGAGCACAAAATTTAACGACAACCGGATCGTATCTCCAAAACTCCAGGGGATTTTCTAATGAATACCGAACGCCTCTTTCTCCTGAACTTAGAAGAAAATCGGCAAGTAGTATGCCGCCAAGGTAATTAATAATATCGTCTTTCAGCGATTTAAACTCATGAAATTAAATTAATATTTGGTGATGGTAATTTAACCAGATTTATAAAATGTTGTGAAATGTTTACCGTTTACAGTGACAAATCTGACAGTAGCGATTCAGACTCTGTCCACTCATTGCCAGTCACATCAAATACGTCCAAACATAATTTATCGAAAGTAGCTACCTCATCAGGCGGTACGCCACAGGCAAGTTACGCAGACATAGCTCGTATGGCAACTATTAATATGACTCATAGTTCGGTATTAAATATATCTTCGATTGTCCCGAGTATGTTAAACACATCTTCATGGCCCACTGTGCCACCAAAAACACCCTCGGAACCAGACAAAATTCCTCAGGACTATTATCCAAGCTTAGATGAGTTGCAACATTCTGATAGAAAAACGAAGCAACATAATTTCACTCATACAAATCATATTTTGAACCTTAGTTTCGATAAACCACCGTCACCGACTTTATCGTCGAAAATAAAGAGTTCAACAGAAAGAAAGAAGGCGGAAGCTCAAGAAGAAGCTATTAGCAAAAATATTCAAGTTATCAAATACGTGCAAGATATCGAAAAAATGCAAAATTTAACGCAACAAGAACAGAAGCAGAGAATTTCTATTAATCATGGCATGAACTCGAGTGAGATTTCAGTATCTAATTCGCTACAGCAAAAACTTAACAATGCAGTTACAAATTGTAATTTAGATTCCGATAATGTTAATTCGAATTGTAACGTTGTTAATAACAAAGATCCAATTATGAATACGAAATGTAATAATCCTCGATCACGTAGAGGATATTCTCAAAACATTCAGAATGTACAAAATCAAGCACACGATGATCAGCATTTAAAAAAAACTACATATGTACACCACGATGACAATTTAAAGAAGTTACACACAGAAAATTCTAATACACATACTGAGAATAAGAGTAGTTCGGGGACAGGTTCTTTCGATGAAGGTGAAACTGTAAAAGTAAAAGCAAACACACAAACTAATCCAAAGTCACATCAAGAAGGACAATTTACAGATTCAGATGTTACGAAATTACCTAAAAGTGAGAAAATGTCAAAAGTTGCTAGAGAACAGAATACTAATGTTAAACACGAGACCGTTAAATCTGGAAATCCGCATTCCATGAATTTAAAACAAGATCAACAAGAGGACACAGAGTATAAGAAAAACAAACAGCAGAATGCTGCTTGGGATAGAGATCAAGCTCTGAAAACGGAGTCGCAAACGTCTAATAAACAAAGAGCGTCGAGACCTGCGGTTATATTGCTGGATGAAACATCTTCCGATATTACTAAAAACACTGACCTGCCAACGGAACTAAGATTTGGTTTCGAAATAAATGAACAGCTCTTACTGTCTGAAGATTCTACGATCGACGACACTTCAACTGCCAGTTCAGTTTTTCCATCTGTAGTTCCGTCACTTATAAACAAGCCACCTTCTAATTTCGATAGATACCCTCCACCAATATTCGAAAGGCATATGAAATGTGATAAATTTACGCCTAATTTCATACAACCAAATACTCATATGACACAACAACCTATGCACCCAGTGATAATGCAACGGTTACCATGCATTGGTTATCCCCCAAGATTTCCTCCACCTACGTGTCTACCACCACCTCCTACACCCCCTCCAGGCATAATGGAAAAATATCATCAACCCAAGGAAGATTTTTCTATGCTTTACGTAGCTCCTGAAGAAGACGTTAATGTACAGACATACAATCACGATAAAATAGTTTCATTCGTTGGTCTCGGTAAGTCCAATATTTTGTTAGATGCCTCAGAATGTAGTCAGTCACAAAGGCTTACATGTGTACATATTGAAATAAATCGATGTTTTATTTCAATACTGCTAATATTATTAAGAAAAACGTTGGAAACTACGATTTTTCTGGATCTACGTCCAAAATGCAAAACATTTTTATACGTTTTTTAAATATATGAAATTTAGTAGGCGTACATTGACTTTTGTGACTGCATAGACATAAGTGCAATGTTGCCCAAACAACCTGAAATTGAATATTTTTCTCATGTTTAAAAATTGGTCTTTACATGTCTTATTTAGTTGTCTTATTAGTATCTATTAAGTTGTAATATATATTCTTTCCGTTTTTTTTAGTCTTTTTAAAGTGGAAAGCGGTACTTTTATATTATATCCTTCAATCAATTGTAATTGTACTATAACAATTTTGATAGACCTTTCATAAAATACTTATCAGTGGATTAATAACGTTTTATTGATGAAAATTAAAATATAAATGTCAGGGAAATTAAGAATAATGATATCATCTTATATTAGTTACCTTCAATATAAGACAGCAATAATAAATAAATCGTTATCTGATTAAAAATCATTCCCTTTGAAAATTTTTGTGAAATATTTCCAGATTTATGATCTATTTCTTTGTTTTACTAAAATATTATTTTTTTCCTATTGTTATAGCATGGGATGCTGTTATGAGGGAAATGCCACTAACTGCAAGTGGTCGTATTCAGTTTTACAGTGGACAATGAAATGGGCACTAAAAATGTGGATTTAATAATACAATAATGTTTTTATATTGCAAGATTGCATCTGTTGCATTATTGCCTACTAAAAAAAGTATAAACAGCTGGGAGAGTCTGTTTACCGATGTGAAAACTGAACATGTATGTGAATGCAAGAAACATGGTCGAACATTTATCAAAATGTTATTAAAACTTTTGATATCGATCAAAGAGTGAAACAAGTTGTGCTAATTAAAGTCAAATCGTCAGTGATAATTCTGTAAAGCCCATCGGTGCAAAATGTGCCTCGAAAAATAATGTACATAATAGTCAATCATCACGAAAAGGCAATGCTTAGAAATTGTATGTTCTACCGTTGTACATAGTATTGAAGTTACAAATGCCTTCAAGAAGGTAACATCAAAGTTTCAGTATTGACATCTCGAATCTGAAAAATCTCTAATATCACACGAAATAACATTTTGCTGTTTCCGAAACATAAAACTAAAATTTTCTTGTAAAAAAATGGTGAGAATCATACATGTGCAGAATGCTTCATAAAAAACATTGGAAAGTGTGTTTCAAGCTGGAAACATAGACGTATGATTTCGAAAAGAAAAACACAGATAACTATTTAAGAAAGTTGAAAATAACTAAAACAAGATTGCCGTGATGCAGATTCATGAAAAACTGCATGTGCTGTGACAGTGGTTTATGCTGATGCCTTTAAAATAACAGATACACTTTAGAGACCATTGTAATAAAGTCTATGAATAGTTAAAAGGAGCCTGTTATGTTAACTATGCCAAATTGAGGTCATCTGTCGAAAAATATTGCTACGCTACTAACAATCATGAAGAATCTGTAAGCTGAGATGATCTTTAATAATGATACCTTGAAAATAGGGGTTGTTGAATCAGTCAGTGAATCTTCATCGAATCTTTAGGATGGTTGAAACGGAAATAATGGTTGCTAGATTAAAACGAAACTTTATTTGAGACAGCTTAAAAGAAACATGAAGAAAGCTATAAAGTTGTGTGAAGTGTAACAAAAAAAAAAATGGTGTGTGTAAGTGTGACATTGAACACGTGTAAAATATTAAAAAATAGTTCGATTAACTCGTAACTGTATGGAGTGGTTACTTCTTCCAGCTGCAACAGATAATAATTTAAGAAATTTAAAGAAAAAAAAGTGAAAGAATCATAAACTGATTTTTGCAAAAATTGTTGCGCTCAAGATCATAAACTGAATGAAGGCAGTGAGAAAGAGTGCGAATGTGTCAAAAACGCTAAATTTTTACACAGACTCGCTTATTTAATGAATAATTAATTATTAATTATTGGTAATGATAATTATAATAAAATACTTGCTTGTGATCATAAAGTATGACAGTGTGAATGCATATAGTACATGTAGATACTTTTCTACTAGCTGATGTTCAATTTGGTTTTGAACTTCTGTTTAAAATTCTTAGAATCTTTAATGGAATTGTGTTATTCCCTGAATTGAGTAACTAATACACTTTGCAGTTGGTATTCATCTATGATAAAAAAAATAAAAGTAAATTTTAAAGATACAAGTTAATCAAAAGAGTGAATTTAACATAATTTTTTTTAAAGTGATTCTATTTGTTAACATAGGATGTCTACCTCCAATAAATATTTTATTTTTTCAATAGGCAAACGAAAGCAATGAGACAATGATAAATTTAAATTGTAATTTTCGATTAGAACATCTTCAGCAAAAGGAATGCATGAGAAACTACATGGAAGTTTGTCATTATCAAAGGTAATAACACACAAATTACCACTGACAAGCTTCATATAAAAGAATAAAAGTGTGTTTGTCTATTTAGATTATTATTATATTATTATTATTATATTACTATTATTATTATTAATGAGAAGTTAATCGTTATTAACAAATTAAAATTGGCGATTTTTGTTATGGCTTTTTTTCAACGATATCGAAATTACGAATGAAGGAAGAAATAAACTAACTTTGTTGATACGTTACTTTTTCTCCAGTAATAAACCAACAGTACAGCTGGGGGTACAGCTTTCAGATGAGTAATAAATTAGGATATGTAATGTATAAAGGAAGAAATATCAATGCATATTCACTAATATGCCTCGAAGAAAACGTCATTCCGTAATTCCGTCACTCTTGAACGAAATCTTTTGGTGTAAAATTTCAATTATATGACACTGTGAACGTGCTCACTGTCTATCTTTGTATTAAACGTTTTCAACTCATGAAACATACACTATTATTCTAGCCTGATTTTATGAAAAGAAGAATCGTAAGATACATCATGGTCATGAAAGCTGTTCACTTCATTTACATAATGAATGTGTCGTGTATTATGATTCTTTAATAGTTGAAGAAAGGTGGGGTACTTACTATGACCATCATGTAACGGTGATCTCATTCTTCGAAAAACAGATTATAAACAAAATAATAAGTTACAGACCAATGATGCATTATTACATGCTTTTACAGATATTTTCTTTTTTATATTTTTTCATTTTACAATATAAATTCTATTATTATACATATACTTTTATAATTTAGTATTAGGAGTCGAATGATAAAGATCTTTTTCCTAATCGCGGTGAGAGTACCTCCGAGTATACGCTGATCTACAAATGTTTCCACGAATATTATTAATAGCTAATTCAATTTTTAATTGCGAGACCTTGTTATTACATCACACGGCAATTTTATCGTTGTTTTAAGTGGATGACTTTTCTTCGGGGTATCTTCATACGGTGTGCAGAAACTATTCAAAAGTCAGGTGCTCCATCGGCTTAAAAGTACAGTGACGGACTAAAGAATTCATACACCTTTCAAAATGCTGTAACTTTTTTAAAATTGTAGTGAACGACTTGAATTTGTTTTAGATGATAGAGGGACTAGACTACTAGACAATGATTAAAATGCTTTTTTCTAATTTTGTAATTACTTGAAATGACAAAATAAATAAAGAAACTCGCGTTTTTTAACTTCTTCATATAAACCAATAATGAAAATTTAAAAAATGCGTTTTGTAGGTCTTGGTAACATGCAAAGTTAGAAAAAAGCATTTTAATCATTATCTAGTAAACTAGTCTCTCTATCACATAAAAAAAATTCAAGTTGTTCAGTCCAATCTTAAAACAGTTGCAGCGTTTTAAAAGGTATATGAATACTTCAGTCCATCACTGTAATAGAGTGCAGTGTCGACTTGCGCCATGGACCGGTTCAAATGGCCAAGTACTAAGTTTTTTGCAGAGCGTGTAGCACAGAACTACTTGAAGAAAATAGGACCATAAATTGTATATCATAAATATGCGTCGAATGGCAGCTATGCTGAATCAATGTCGTATATGCGGGGTATAAAAAATGTATCCCTTTTTTCTTAATAAACAGAAAGAAAAGAGATACAACTAAAAACATGCAAAACGATAATATCCATATTCTTTTCTGCATTCGAAAAAGAAACAGATCATAATACTCTTATCGATTTGGAAACTTTTACTGTTCGAAGTAACAGTCTATTTTTGTTCACGTTACGCGACGCTTTAAAATTCGAATGATAAAGAAACACGCTAATTTTGTTCAACAGCAGGCTATTTGCATTTATCTATGAACTATTTGTGGCCTGTATTGTTACATAAAACGTATGTTTCTCATAACGGGCACAAAATCCTAATTTTGATGCATGAGAACTTTTCTTTTTTCGTAACAGTTAAAGAAAACAAGCGCATCGTTCCTGTACATCTGATTCTCAGCTATGAATTAAATGCATATAGATTCGTTTTGAATTGTTGAAACGTCACCGACTGTGTAAATTAATTTTAACCGTAGTTGATGTTATTCCCTGTCTTGAATTGTTACTTGTGAATACGTAATACATAATCAATGCAACATATTGACAGCGAGTGTTCATTAAACAAATGCGTGAAGAACTTTTATAATTTTCATTGTTAAAATTCAGTTACTTTATACGATCCGGACAAATACCGCCTAATGTAAAATGCTTGAAACTATGGTGAAAACAAAAAAAAAAACGATCGTGCATGTTGTGTAATTATTCTAACCGTGGAGAATTGTTTAAATGTTTCTGAGGGCTGATTAATTTCATTCGATTTCGCAAGTTAAATTCACCCGGTTCCATACTCAGCCAAAGAAATGTTTATCTATATTCGGTAATGATTGCTCGAGGCAATACTCAATTATCGGCGCGGGCACGTCAATAGTGTTTAACAAAAAAAAAAAAGAAGTTGCATAAAACGGAGACGAAGGGAAAAAAGGCGAGAAACGAAAAGTAATAACAATTGAGAGAGGCAAACAGTGTCCGACGATCTCAGTGTTAGCCTTGTATCACTGTACAATTTGTTATTCAGTGTAAGACGGTTTTTCTGTGCTGTATATACATATATTAATAACTATTATTAACGATTAACAATTACAATGAAGCTATTCGATTACCTATTATTGTATCACTATTATTATTATTATTAAATATCAACTATACAGAGAAAACAGAAACTATCGGATTGTTTTGCGTCGAATCGATCGCCATGCACATCTGGCGTCAGGAATGTTTGAAGATCAAAAACTTTTTATCTCGCCCCGAAATATCTAAAATAAACATTTCCTTGCAATTTTTATATCAAAAAAGTAATCTTTGAATTCATATAAATATTTTGATGGAAACGACAGGTACCAGATAGGTAACTGATAGACAGAAACGATACCATTCGTATCAAACAATTAATCCACTATTAATTTTGAAAATGAAAATCAAATTGTATAAACAAAATGAATATTTAAATTCAGTACGTAAGATCTTCTGATGTCAGATGCGTAAAATGATTGATTCCATGCGAGACGGTCTTATCGCGAGTGATTGTGCATGTAAAAAATAAAGAGAAAAAAGAATATGTTGCGTGTATGGTAAAGGCTGTGCTGCCCAGCTGAAAACAAAAGATTAAAAAAAAAGAAGAAAAGCAATGAAAAATGACAACGGAGAGAAGATTTTGTTGCCAACGTTTAGTGTGTTGCCAAAGTTTTCCCCCTTAGTGGGTATAAAAACACAGTATAAAGTAATATTCGAGTTCCTTCTTTCTTGTTTGTTTATTTCTTTTTCATTTTGTTTATTTACTCGTTGAGATTGGGTCGTTAACGACACAGTTTTTCTTCTTGGAGAAAGACACGAGGTCGGCGGTTATTTTGTCGTGAACTACTTGCTTGTTCATGAGTTTCTTTTCTCTCTTTAGCAGGACTGTACGCACTCGTTTGCTTAAATGTTCGTAACGGTTAGAACGTAGATGGAAAAGAAGCATTGTGATATAATACAAACGTAGCGATTATTGTTTTCAATCGATTAAAAGCCGGAACAATGCCTTCGAATATTACTTGCATACTGTTACTAGCCGGTGATGCGTATTCGGACGATAAATCGCTGCGCATATGTACGTTTATAGTTTAATAAAAAGAAAAAAAAGATGCAAGGGGAGGGGAAGGGGCGAACGACGAAGAGGAGGGGAACAAATGAACATTATTCGTGGAGAAGGAAGCTTCGTCAAACAGTTGTTCTTCGCGGCAAGAGAGTGAACAAGGATCAAAAGCTGAAACCCCGATTTATTCTCAGGATGCGTAAACGCAACGGCCGTCGCTTACTATTTTGTTACTGATAGTACCGAAAACCTCGTATTCATGCAAATCACTATTACGGACCATGGATGTAAAAAGTTATTGCTATGAAGTGTGTGTATAAGAAGAAAAACGTAAAGCAGTGGAGATAGATGATAGCGCGACAACGGAGTAAGAGAGCGTGAGAGAAAGAAAGCGAGAGAGTGAAAGGATGTGTGCGTGCAAGGATGCTGACTTTGATGCTTCTTCTACAAATGAGAGATTATATTGTCCTCCTCAGAATAATTGTAAAAATGTCGAAAACGAGCGTATAGTATCGCCATTTGGCCTTTATGCTGTTCTATCTGCGATTTCATACAAGCTTCGCGCGTTGCGGTATCGATACGTTGTTCTATTTCCTAGGATTTTCGTTTCTTTTCTCCCTTTGTTTTTCCTTGGAGGATTCGCGTGGGCGTGGACGCGTGCACGTGCGCTCGATTAAACGATTAAATAGTGATTCGAATCCGAAAGATTTCTTTCGATGTCGACTAGGCATACTAACACGAACACGACGAATATGAAGTGTGAATTGATCGTCATCCGCGTTTAGTGTCGCAGTTCCAGTAAATGCGGTGCATCTGTTTGTCTGCCGTCGCAGAGGCTAAATATGTGAATAACACTATGTAAAAGTTCAGCAGCAGGTGCGTCGAGAATATAAAAAAAAAACAAATACATGTAATAATAACGAGAATCATGAGAAAAGTGAGAAGCCAAACACAGTTTTTTCTATTTCTCGCACATTGCGTTTTACGATCACATTTGTTCGAATGCTTTTTATTAGAACTGCCCAACTGTTCTCTGTCTTTTACGGCTTTCTTTCTTCTTTTTTTTTTTTATTTTTTTTTTTTAATTGTGTGCCGCTGAAATGTGACTAATTTATTTTAGATGATCATTAGAAAGGAACGTTCTTAGAACTGATCCCGAGGCGAGGAACATATTAGAACAGAATCTTTTGAAGAAACTAAATATTAATCCTTTACGAGTAAACATTTCGAGGAATAAATGTTCGACAATAGGACTGTTATTATTAAGAAGTAGTGTAATTTTTTAAAACGAACCGTTTGCTTCTTTTCTATCACTTCGATACATTATTCGATGTATTTATGGTGTCCGTTTTGTTTACGTATCGATAAAATGTATTTCCATGTTTCGCCGTTTGCACGTGAGTTGCACGATCAAGAGAAACTAAAAAAAAAAGAGAAAAAGAAAGAAAGACAAAAGCATCGATGAAATGTGCAGCATTTTCTACGTATCATTTCTTCAGAAGGGAACCTTTTATCTCCTTCGACAATTCAGAAGCGATTTGCTTATTATCTTTACGTACCAAACCCAAGTATTCCATTGGTAACCTTCAATAGACTTTTTATGTATGTATGTAATGTATGTATGCATAAATGCGACGAAGTAGAAAATTTTGTGCAGCATAATTGAGAGAAAGAGAGAGGGAGAGAGAAAGCGGTAGATTGAAAGGGGAAAGGAAGGTGTAAATGATGATGCGAACGCGTCGAAATATAACTGCGACCGAAAAATAACATTTACGATAAGAAGAACGCACGTTGCCATTTGTTGTTACTGGTTATTATTATTTTCTTTTTGTCTTTCAGTTGGTGTTAAACGTGTTTCTCTTTAATAATTTTTTTGTTTCTTTATTCTCTTTAGTTTCTAAGGTACATACAATTTGTTTTACGTCTCGCGTACACATTAAACACAGACAGACATCGGCATTTTGTTCTTCATGACTTTTTAACTGTAAAACCGAATTAAAAGGCGTTTTGTGATCGATTATCGACATTAAAAGTCTCATTTTTTCTTTTATTGCTATTGATGTTACTTCCACCTATAAGGATGTACATATTACATACATATAACAGGACTCGAGCTAAGAGAAAGTCCGCACGGATGATCGCGAGTGAAGTCGGTTTTTATTACTTCCTCTGCCAATTCCACTTGATAAGACTCCTTGTCAACGTGTGACCGTCGATCGATTGCTAAAGGGAACATTGTAAATGCCCAATATGAAACATGCACATATATTTGATAGACAAGACATCGCAAATTGGTAAAGTTTTGTTGATCGCAGAAGTGTTTTCAATCCTTAAAGACGATCCTTTTCCTGAATATTATGAAACCCATTACTGTCGGCACTTTATATATGCGCACTATATAAAAAAAGATCCAACTCCATAAGTATATGGAGATCCATAAGGTGTATTGTCTTTCAAGGGAACTACTTCCACTGCCAAATACATGATTGAAAAGGGTATTTCAACGTTACAATAGTATCCTGTTTCCTCGGGCTACGAAGTATCACACAATCTCTCCTTTAAAATTTACTGAAAAACCTTTGAGTTTATAGTTTAAGATCAGCCAATTTAAACTTCCAAAAAAAGTTCAAGAAATTATTTACAATTATCTCTTAACAAACTAACGAAAATCAGTACAAGCTAATTTAATAAAGAGACCAGACCATCAATTTCTCTGTGCCAATGTCAGATAAGATTCGACACTTTGATGATATTCACGACACCAAGTTCGCTTATCTAACCTGAAAAATGTAAACAAATAATTTAATTATTCAAGTAATAAGAAATAAGTACGTGTTTTTCTTCTTTGCAGTAAAAAGTTTTCACTGTCCCTTGAGCTTCGATTTCATCTGATGATGCTAAAGCATATCTCCGTGATAGATATTTTTAATTTGATACATAAATGCTAAATTGCTTGTAGCATATGCGAAGATATCCACAGTTTAGTGAAATTTGGCAGACTGATACAAAAGATCATGGAGAAATGACCTGCGAAGCGTTATCAAATTATAATATAATCGGACTTCTTTTTTGTACATAGAGCCTTATATTTATATTTCAATGTCATTCGCAAACATTTTTCAAGAATTAGTATCGATTAATGACAGACTAGTGACTAGCTCCATCTTTCTACTGCTTCACATATTTGCAACCACTTTGAAATTAACTTAGCCATTTCACACGACCGACTAAAGGAAACTATCTTAACATGGCTTCTTTGATCCCGATACTATTGGTTATCTAGCGCAAAAAATATCAGAACCATTCTTAGTGCATATAAACTATGTGTAACTGTAGCTACCACGCCAGTAGAATGAAAGGGAAAACTTCTTCATTTTTGTCAAATTTGTCATGAATACACAGAATTAAAATGAAAATGATTTTACAAGTCTACTACGGATGATAAAATTAGATAAAATTAGAAAACTATGTGTTGATTTCAAGATTGATCGACAATTTTAGTCTTTTTCAGACTATTATTGAAATTATTTTTTCGATATTCTATAGTAGAAGATTAGAGAGTTGTAATAACATTAAATCATTTCTCAATTATTTTATTTCTCAGCCAT